ATGTTTCTGATGTATGGCAGTGTGATCCTTTTCATAGCTTGTGTAGGTTGTGTTGTAGTAGACTGAGTGGTCAGGCACTTTTTGATAAAGTTGCGTAGATATCCATTTTGTTGGAAGATGTTGTACAGTATAAGTGGTCTTTTTCATCTGTGAGAAATGTGTGAGGGGTGAGATCAGAGACAGGCCTTTTCTGATGAAGTTCCCACACTTTGGAACATGTTTTCCCCAAGGTACATTTGACCCTTTCCTCCTCACATTCTGTTAAAACCATATTATTCCACTGTGCCTTCAAGCCAAGTTTGATTATGAGCCTCCATCTTCAACATGTATCTTTATGACTGTTATTAATCTCCATATACTATTTCCCTTCTGCTTTGTGGTTCACCAGCCAGAGTCTTAATTGATTGGGGCGATTTGCAAATATCATAAAATAAATAAACAAACAAACAAGACAGCAGTTTTTGGAGCCACTCCAGAGGCACCATCCTTGCGCAGGGGCCATGCTGATCTTCTCTGCATTGTTCCATTTTTAGTATATGTGCTGCTGAAGGGAGCACACAGAGGCTGCTTGCTATGGTTTTTGGTGCATCACATGTTCCTGGTGGCTCATATTCTTCCCCCACTCAGGTATACCTATCCAGTATTGCTAAGTACAATGTTGCTTGGCCACCAGTCAAGCAAGAAAGAGGAATGTACGGTGCTCTGATAGGCGATATGCATCACCAATGTGCTGAATAACAGGGGGTGGGGAGCATCATTTCAGGTTTTTTTCCCAAAGGAAAAGCCTCTCTTGGTTTCCTTCTGTCTGAAGAGCAGTCTGGTGCAGAAACACTTGTGACATTTTTTAACCAATTGTGAGAGTTAACTCAGGGATGCAACATTCAGAACCAAGACAGCCAGGAGGAAAGATGGCTTAGAAAGCCTGTCCAGGATGACACTGCTCTGCATATGTGTGTAATGAGCTGTGAGAATAACCTTGAGGAACAGGAGGAAGAGCTGCAGCTAAGACAATGGTCAGATAAGAGAAATCTGAGTCCAAAGCAGGAATGTAATTTGAGAAAATGTCTCAGACTTGACCCTCTTTAGTTCTATTTAGGATAAAGGCAGGGCGAAGGCACATTTAGATTTGCAAGATTCTGTTATTGTAATTTTATAATAAAAATAGTTTTAGTATTCATAATTTGGTGTCCAAATCTAGTCTGCCCCAAAGGGTTGACAATGCATGACCATGCACGCAGCTCACATTTCAACAAAACTTAAGAGGAAGCTCTGGGAAATCATTGTTGCCCATCAATGCTGAAGGTGAATCTGGAGAATAGGGCAGCAAAGGGCCCATGGCAACTGCTGCATGCAGCTTTCCCCACAACTGATTGGGACATCCCCCACAGAAGATTATGGGTTTAGCTCTCCAATTTCCAAACATCTGGGAACAACTGGGCTGTTATGATTTCTCTGCCAGGAACCAGAGAATGGTTGTCTCCATGAATATTCACCAGCCAGCTACAACATTTAACACTAAGTCTGAACCTTAAATTTCATGTTTCCCTCTGGGAATGGTTGCACTAAGCCCATTAAATACTTTACAAGTCCAAGAGAGTCTCTGGACACAAGGCAGCTGCATAAAAGCTAAACAGAGATTAAATATGAATGGGTTTAGCTGCCTCATTGAACAGCAAGAGATTGCTCTCTGTAGCTTAATGAGGTGTGGTTTTCTTTTTGGTATCTGGGAGGATGGTAGAAGTAACCAGAGCATCTTGTTCTGCAAGTATTTCAGCTGGTCAGGAGACAGGAGACCAAGCTTATTTAGAATACTATTTAAGAAAGTGTTACAGCACAAAACTTTGGTTTTGTGGGTTGTTGTCAGAAAGGGAATTCATTAGGAACCTTAATTATTTATGCCAACTCACAGTTCAAAACCCAAGGTTTATGGCATACCCAAAGAACAGCTGAAAATGAACATAAAATATTGACAAGTGTGAGAAGATTCCAAGAATGATTTTAAAGGAGCGCCTTTAAAATCTTTTTATTTAGTCTGTGAGGGGCAAGGCATTTCTATCAGTGGCCACTCTTTTCCAAACGCAGCTGCATTCGCCTTAGGCCAAGTTTCATTTTTAAAGGTGGTATGTTTGTGTTCCCATAACGTGCTTGGCTCTGGTTTGTTTCATCATTGTTTGGCAAGTTTATCCCTCCTGCTAACCCATAAACCATTTTAAAAACTACAGTGACTGGTTCCACACCCCACACATTACTCCAAAATTAAACAAACCACACTATGGCTTAGCTTAGCATGATGTGTGAAACTAGTGTAAATGTGTTATAGCCCTACCCAATTCTAACATTTTTACCAAAGGATTTCTAAAGCCATGAAAGGATACTAAAAAACTGACTACTCAGCTATATCTCAGCTGTAGATATAACTTATTAATGTAGATAAATATTGCATTTTATAAATGTCTCAGGTTTGTGTCTGGTTTTGCACTGATCTGCAATATTAAGTCTCTGCAGCTATATACGGTCAGCCGCACGGTCACCCACACGGTCACCCATGCCTTGGTCACCTCCAGATTGGACTACTGCAACGCGCTCTACATGGGGCTACCCTTGAAGAGTATCCGGAAGCTACAGCTGGTGCAGAATGTGGCGGCGCGGACAGTTCTC